CGCCACCGGCCCCGGCACCGGCCCCGGCCCCGGGCCGCCCCGCAGGACTGCGCGCCCCGCCGCCGCCACCGCACGCCAAGCCCCGGCCCCGCTCCCGCCTTCTTCTCCCCTCTTATTTTTGCCTCTCGCTCCCCTTCCCTCCTGCCCTCCCCGGCCTCTCTCTCTCACTCTTTTTGCTTTTTTGTTTTTATTTTTTTTTTCTTTCTTCCTTCCTTTTTGTACAGAAATGTTTTGATGTTCTTGTAATAATAATAATAAATAATAATAATAATAATAATAACGAGAGAGAAAAAAGGTAACGGTTGCTTTACTTACCTTTTTTTTTTTTTTTTTTTTTAGAAGGACTAGTTTATGAAACTAGTTTTAGGCTGAACTTCTGTGTTTTATCGAGACTTTTTGTACAGTATTTATCATTCACCCAAGAGACATAGAGCGTTTATTTGCAAAAGAGGAGAAAGAGAAAGAAAGAAAAAAAAAAGACGGCGAAAAGACAAAAAAATATCAATAATAACCACACAAAGTTGTAGGCGATGCCAACTTTTATACCGCGCGGAACCGCTGCGATTTCAGTCACGGATCGCTTCTTGCGAAGGCTTTTTATTGCCTAATTAACTCGAAGTTGATGGGGAAACAGTTCTCATTTATTACTCATGTACTAAGGCAAATCCAAAACAACACTTAAAAGTTTTTTGTAGATGTTCTCGCGTTTTGTTTTGGGTTTTTTTTTGTTGTTTGTTTGGGTTATGTTTTTCTTTTTTAATTTGTTTGTTTATTTATAAAACTTTTTTTTTTTCTTTTGGAGGCTGCAATGTTGGGGTTTTTTTCTGGGTTTTGTAAAACTTTATTGTATCTGGCTATTTTTTGTTTGTTTGTTTTCTCTTTGGTTTTGTTTTCTTTTTTGTATCATTTCTTGTAAATGCATTGTGAAATAATTTTTATTTAGGCGTCACGAGGGAATTCAGATTGTGTACATAGTTTACTAAAAAGCCTTTCTGCTAAACAGAAATCCTAAGGATGCGTTCAATTTTGAGTTAAATAAATTTCAAAGCGGAAAAAGTCACCTGTTTTTTTTTTTTTTAAAAAAAAAAAAAAAAAAAAAAAGAAAGAAAACTTAAAGGTAGAACACAGCAGTGTTTTCCACCGTGTGCCTGGAAATCCAGCAGGTAAAACCTAGATATACGGGGATGCAGCTTTAAACCGGAGCGGCAAACAGAACCAAGTGCGACCCCGCAGTAAATGTCGATGTCTCCTAATCCGTATAAATCAGGATGAAGGTAGATTTCTTTTCATACTCGTTCCGTTTTGCGAGGGAAGGCGACTCGGGATTACTTTTCCTAGCCGTGAGCCTTCATTTTTGTGTATTTTATAGCTGGGCTGACGGTCCGGACCCTGCCCGGGGCCGTAACTTTCCCCTCGGGGGGAGGCCGGGGGGCTGCCCGCCCCTGCCCGCCGCTCGCCCGGGGGTCCCTACCGGCCCGGGGGGGGGCACCGACCTCCCCGGGGGGACGCGGAGTCACCGGCCAGCGCGCCACTTCCCCTCTAATTAACACTATGAAAAGCGAAAGCGCTTCGGTTTGAGCGAAAAAAAAAAAAAGAAAAAACGACCTCTAAACCCCCAAGCCCGAAAAGCAGAGTCCCAGCCCAGCATCCCGGGGGGCGAGCGGGGAGCCGTGGGGTCACCGAGGCGCTGGTTCCAGCGGCTGGCGCGAAAGCTGTCGAGCAAAAAATCCACGAGCGTCTGTTAGTTGCAGAATGTTGTTCTGATGGTTTGAAATTGAATTCAATTTTTTTCTTTTTTTCTTTTTTTTTTTCCTTCCCCCAGCTGTTGATCGGTACCTTTCGATACGCTGGAATTAAAAGTTGGCTGTAAACTTCTTCTGATGGTCCTAACAGCGTTAAGCGTCGCGTTTAAACATCACGCGGTAGCAAACCAAATTTGAAATTAGTCGCAACTGCTTAAACAAAAGGGGAAAAAAAATTACTTTTAGCTTACAGGGCGGTAATGTCGGTGGCAGCGGGCTGCGGGGCTTTTTAAAGCATCTTTTAGCGCTGGCGAATGAGTCCTTCATCCATCCATCCATCCATCCAGGAGTGGGGAAGTGTTACTTTTGGTTAATGGGCAGCGGTTTCGGTCCGTTGTCAGAGATTGCGCTTTACCTTTAACGCTGACATGCCAATTGACATATCTAACTCTTCGGAGTCATTTTGATAATTTTGTTTGAATCACTCGTTCGTTAAAGTGAAGGCAAAATTTTCATGGAAGATGTCTATTGTTTTTTAAACCAGGTAATAAATCTCCCTCGCTTTTTTTTTTTTTTTTAAATTATTTGAACTTTTATTAAAGCCAGGTATGTGAGGGTTCGGACAGTCAGCAGGGTAGTTTTGGAGATGCTCGGCGTATACAAACAGTGGACATCATAGAAAGCAGGAACCTGTGAGAAGCCTTCTGTGGCGTTGGTTACCTCCAGCCAAGCATGATCCTATATGTATTTTTAAAATATTAATAGGCGTACCTTTAAACATGCAGAATAATCTGAGCACCTGTTGAACTGTTTCTTTATCCATCCTGTGTACACGCACTCGCACATATCTACACACACTATAGACAGCACCAGGACTGAAGAGAAGGGTATGTGCGCCTGTGTACGTGTGCACACGCATATACATCTGGTGCAACCTTGTTACGTGCCTTTTCTTTAAGGGTCATAGCTGGCAGTGAGGAAGAGAAAAATCCCGGGGAACCGATCCTGTGTCGCCGGGCGCGACTGATGGAACAAGGCGGGTTGGGGCGGTCAAGGGAGAAAAGCAAATAAACATCTTTAGGCGCCCAAACAACAGAAATGCTAGGAGGAAGTGCTTAAAAAAAGAAATATGAAGGATCTCGAAATGAGCTCCTTTTAACGAGTACTTCCCTCCTCCCCTCACGATTTAGCGGCTCAATGGCGTTGTGCTTAGAATAATAGGAATACCTGCACTTTCAACACCAGGGGATTAAACAGACCCAAGCTCGGCTATATTCAAATAAGCTTCGAAGATTCTCAGCCCGCCTTTCAAAAAATGCAATCCCCTCTGCTAATGACCAAAAAAAAAAACCAACCCACCCCCAAAACCAACCCCCCAAACAGCAGAAGGGTAGAATTTTTTGCTGTCCGCGGTTTACTGGTTTGGCAGTTTAGTTTAATTTGAGTTAAACTTCACGTCTGGGTAAACAAACAAAGTTAAAACAACTTTGCTAGGCAGACTAGTTGGGTTTAGATACGGGAAAATAATCCGGCCTTCGGGCTTTTTGCTATGCGGGTTATATATAAGAGAATAATTGAATATGCAAAACTAAGAATAGGTTTAAACGATTTATGGTTTAAGTACATTGCATTTAAAATTGTATGAAGTGTTCCTCCTATAACGTGATTGACAGAGCTATTAAAATCACCTATGTGAAAGAAAAAAAAAAAAAAAGCAAGTTATCTCTTTTTCAGTAAAAGGAAGGAAAATCCAGGGAGTAAGGCAAAGAGGAGTCGGGCGGAGGTGCCCTCTCTGCCAAGTTAGGCTGCGTGTAGCGTGGGGGGCTTGGGGTCAGGCCCCCCGCGGGTCCCACCGTGGCTCCCCCCCCCCTCCGCCGCTCTGCCGGCTGCTCCCGCTGCCCCGGGAGGGGGGCGGCGGCAGAGGAGCCAGGAGGACGAGAGGCACAGTGCGATAACAGGTTTGATCCGCTCCAAACTTCCAGCCAAAACGCAAACTTGGCCTGAAACTACACAGCTCTTTTCCCAACCATT